ATCTTGCCATAGGTGCTGTAAGAGGCGACATAGAGAAATAAACAGATAATTGAGCAGGAGTATCTACCTGATATCAACTCAAAATGAAAGTAGGTGTTGCCAACACGGGTGACAACAATGGCGAATATCCCGTTTGAGGTAATCTATGTGACGGACTATGTTTAGCAGTGGACTTTTTATAGGTCCAATGGTCCAATTCAAACTGCTTCACACGTCACCTTGTCGGTTGTAGCAACTGACAGCTACTTTGAGTGTCGAAGAGCACCTTGCCTTCCACAAGCCGAGGATATGCAGGCGCGTCAGTGACGGTCCGCCACTTGTTTCTACGTTTACCCTGATGATGGAAGCTAGCACTCAAACACTAGGGCCCGTATTAATAAACGTTACTCAACGACGAACTCAAGTGCGTAATCATTTAATACGAAATCACCATCTCAAGATCGTTGCTAATTAATAAACACATAAAAACAGTATCTCAAAACGCTGTACTTAGGAATACTGTTCAGTGATTTGCACTCAAGTACACACACTTAAGAGTCGATGTTCGTTTAATCAGTGTGGCACTCAGCTGATATCGTAAACCTAAACTGCATATTGAGATATGTTTATTAATAAGATCATAACCTCAAGATTGTGCTCAAGTGCATGTACTTGAAGTGAGTAACGTTTATTAATACGGGTCTAGAAGAGCTAGTAAATCCGACTCGAACTGGACCATAAACAGCCCTTTGACTATTGCACTTATCAATTAAACACTATTTAGCCACTCGCTATACTTTTATTAACACAGTATGCAAGCAAACTTTGTTATACGGATTGGACCATTAATCCACCAAATAGCATTGCTTGCCTGCTGTATTATATCTGGAGGGTATTTACAGTACTTATTGTATTTGTCAGTATATTTACAGGCTATGAGGTCTTCCATCTCAGTCCACAGAGTTGACAACGCATATGTAACCTTTTTTGTTTGTAGGTTGTAGGTGTCCATTGACTGCAGTAGTTTCTTATTATCATGTAAACTGTTTCCCGCGATTTCGCCCGCGTGTAATTTTTTTTATAGGATAGGATGATTGTAAGTGGTTGCTGTGACCTATAGACATCCACATGTATCCTCAATAAAGAATCAAAATGCAGATGCGTTGTCACCCGTGAGGACTAAGATGGAATGCCTCTTTTCCAGTAAAAAGGGTCTCCGGTTTTCTACACTCACCATACGAAACACAGCAGTGTTAAGCTGGTATTTTACGCCGGTATTCTGTGAGAGCGTGGTCTTTCTCCGGTTACCCGGTTACCCATTCGTGCTACAAATATACTATTAATATAGCTGCAGCATGGCTCTACCACGTAAGAGTTTAGGGTTTTATTTATGTTGCGCGAAACAATAATTATTTTTCTAAAATATAAGTTGCCTAAGTTACTCCTTATAATATCAGCTATCTACCAGTGAAATTCCCGTCAAAATCGGTCCAGCCGTTTCGGAGATTAGCCGAAACAAACCGACAGACAGTCAAACAGACAAAAATTTTAAAAATTGTGTTTTTGTCATAAGTACCGTATATACTTTCATATGCATTTAGTAAAAAGCTGGTATTTTGACATTACAAATAGACACTTCAATTTTATTTATTTGTATAGATTAGAAGTCTTATCTTCAGTCATTCATACGAATACTTGTCTATGCTAAAATTTGATATTTTATCTATGAAGGTTTATTTCTATTCGAGTATCAAAAGAATAAAGAACAATAGAGCTTATTCTGAATTGCTTACTCCTAGTTATCTGCAATTTATCTCGTATAACACTTAATTTCGCACAAAGCCCTCTAGTTTTATTCCTTTATTTAATATGCCTCTATAAAATTTACATAACATTGCGATATTCTCTCTGGGTCAAGTATTAAAATAATTCCACATCAAAATAATTTACAAAGCGCTATTAAGCATACATGGAATATTTAGGAAAACGATCCTTTGTTAGTCTCGTTTGTATTTAAGGTGGCTAGCGTTTTAAAAGAATGAGTTCACTATCGAACGTAATGTTACTCTGAAAATGTGATACACGCACACAAATGACAATCGGCACTAATATGCTGGACACGTCAGTGTTAGAACTGATGCGCACTGCATACTAGCGTTGATTGTCGGACCTTAATGTATTTGTGTGCCTGTATCTCGCGTATGACGAACAAAATTGCAGGACCTAGGGTGTTTCACACACTTTCAGTGCAACATTACCCCTGTGTTTTACGGCCATGACAATATAATATACTCTTCATGTTCTGTAAGTAACAGTATAAGAAGAGGATGTGCTAAATTATGTTACAAATGCTAATACTAATTATACGTGATCAGCATAAAATAGCTGCATCACGAATGGATCCACTCACCTTGGGAGTAACCACACTCACACAGACTACTAGCACATAATTATAAATTAAAAATTTTGTACAACCGACTTCAATATAAATTATTAAGAATAACTCAAAAACTATTGGTCAGACCTTGATTAAATTTATATAGGACTACATATGAAGCACCAGCTTTCAAATAAAAAAATAATCATCGAAATCGGTTCACCCAGTAAAAAGTTATGAGGTATCACATAAAAAACCATACAGTCGAATTGAGTACTGTCTCCTTTTTGAAGAATATTTTTAATTTTAAATTCTTAAAATTTCTTCTTTTAATTCTTCTAATTACAGGCTATGAGGCATATCATTTTAGTTCTCAAATGTGACAACGCATCTGTAGTATCTTTGTTTGAAATTGTTTGTTCCATGGACTGCAGTAGCCACTTCCGATAAGGTAGACTTTGAGTTCGTTTGTCACGTAATTAAAAAAGACGGTTGATCCTACAAGCAAGCTAATTTCAAATGCAAAACGTTCCAAATTCCAACATTCGAAACACAAAATCCACGTTTTTTTTATTTTTTTCGTTAACGATTTATCTTCAACGCTTCAACCAATTTTGATGCAGTTTGCAGCAATCGACGACGTTTTTTGAGTTTGAAAGCTGATTAGATTTTGGAATAGATCGTTACATATGTTTAAAAGTTATATCAAAACATTATTTTGAAAACTTTATGTTTTAGATTTCTTCAAATCTACCGGTCAGAATCGGTTTAAATGGTATAGAAAATCCAAATTTGGTGAAGCCCATTCGAACGCCGCCAAGTTCGTTCAAATCCCCGTAGACATCTACATCTATCCTCGTTTGCGAATCAAAATGCAGATGCGTTGCCACCCGTGAGGACTAAGATGGAATGCCTCATTTCCAGTAAAAAGGGCCTCCGGCCACCTGCACTCACCAAGCGAAACGCAGAGGTAAACCTCTACTTCACGCTGGTTTTCTGTGAGGTCGTGGTACCACCCCGGTTCGAGCCGGCCCATCCGTGCGATAGCAAAAGCTGCCGCGTGGCTCTACCACTGTTAAAGTTATAAGTGGGACACACACACACATTTATATATAGAGACATAGAGACATCCTCGTAGCAATAGTCAGACTAGTTTTCTAGAACCTCAAAACGTCTAAATCTGAAGAAAACTCGATTTTCGAAAACTGGGATGAAACCAATAACTTCCCGATTTTTTTCTGAAAACCATTTATTTTCATAGCAGGAAGTTAAAAAACCATCAGATGGACTACGAGTACCTTTTATTGACAGAATTATCATTATTGGAGAGAATACCCCATATCATCCCGTGGGTGTCGTAAGAGTAAGTAAGAGGCGACAGAGAAAAACAAATCAGGAGATGTGCAGCAGCATCTTCCTAATAACGACTAAATATAAAAAAAATCAACTGCGGTTCTCAACCCGCTTACCAAGGGTGACAAGTATGGCAAATATCCTCATGCGGCAGTCTACAGGGGAGGCCTATGATCAGCAGTGGACTTTAATAGGTTGTAACGGAGACTTTATCGTCCGATTTATGGTAGAAAATCTATCCAAATTACAACTATATTATTTTTCACTACGTGTATTTTGACTCGGTCACGTTTTTCACTCTTATTATATAAAAAAATATTTTGTTTTCCTGCGACGTTCCAAAAGTCAAATCTGGGTCATTGATTACTTCATAATCGATCGTTGGCATCCAATCAGAGTTCTAATTAGTAATCGCGAGGATTTTGTCAACAACGCGCTTGGTTAGTCGTCTGTGATATGGGTTGATAAGATTTCGTTTTTCAGGAATAGTTTTAATCGTATTTTATTTATTAAACCAGTATATGATGGCTTATAAATATTTAAAGTTGCAACCTTTATACGTCCCATTCCTGGGGACAGACCTCGTTTCATATCTGAGAGTTTAAGGCAAAAAAAAACAGCTGGCATGTTTGCGCACTTTACATATCTTCAAAATGTTTCTTTAATTTCTCAGATGTCACGCTCTCTCACGTTGCTATTCTTAAACCGTATACAGTGTTTGAACAAAACTTAGTGTATTGGGTTGAAACTGCAGTCTTTACACTGCAAATAACCCCCTCAGCCCAATAAAGGCAGTCATTACGATATTACAAAAATAAACTTCAATTTTATTTAAATATTTAGAATTTCAATTTTGTTTGTATGTTTGAATTAGCATATATCACCTGATGGTAAGTGGTGATGCAGCCCAACATAGTAAAGAGTATTGACTCACAAAAGGCTATTCACTCCTGCCTTGAAGATCCATATTATAATCTGATGGCAAGACAGATCCTGACAAATTATTTCACTCCTTTGCTGTACGCATTATGGACGACGAAGCAAACCGTTTGTTCGAGTGCGTGGTATGTCAACAACAAAGGGGTAAAAACTATTAGAGCGTCTGGTGGTTTTTCTTTAATAGAATTAGGCCGATGATATGTGATACATTATATCTGATATCCGATATCTGACCACGAATACTAGTATCTACATTATTAAAATGATATCAGTCACATATCAATAACAAAGTGCCATTTTTAAATCCGAGTTCAGGATTAAGATAAAAATATGATCCTTTTTTTGTTACAGAATGGTTCGACCCAGCTGCCTGCTTACTTGCTGCCTCCTTGGAGCCCTCCTCTTAATTGTTCCCGCTTCTTCTTACCCCAGGTAGTTATACTTAGTCTTTAAAAAGGCGTAAATAATAATAATATGTCGAAAACGGAAGCCAAAAATCACCATTTTACACAGTTTATCGGAAATAATATTTTCTTGACCAATATTTATACGTTTCACGCAAGCACAGATTTTCTCATATGTGTATTTTGATATAATGAATTTACGATCAGTCAATGCCCATGCGGGCACAGAGCCCACACATTGTGTGGGCTCTGTGCCCGCATGGGCAGTACGCCAAATTTTAGGATGTTTTATCATATAGATAACAACTGAATTACAAGAAGATTCGAAAACATCACAAAATGATAAAGTCAACTTTGATTTGGGTTTCAAAGTAGTCTGACATCAATTTAATTTTTTAAATTATAAGCGTAGCTGTTAATGTAACATTTGTATTAAAATAGACTAATTGTATTTCAGTCCCAACAACTACCACCTGGAGGAAGGCCAATATGATCCAGAAGAAATTATGGATATGCTAAACCGCCTCGGAAACCTTATCCAAATAGAACGCAAAATGGAGAAGTACGTTTAAGTATTATTGTCAACCAAATTTCAATTGCATCTCTTTTTTCTTTCATAATATTAAATAACGAAATTTGTCAAAACTTTAAACTACTTCCATTCTTATTCAATATTTTTTTTAAGTTTTACACAATGTGTATTATCATCAATAATGTCCTCCAGACCAGAATTTCGGTCACGGTGGCCAGTCTCGACGGAGACTAGCTATCTGCGCAGGACAGGATTGTAATGCCCGAGTGTATTCAGAAACAAAGGAGAACTCTCTAATCCCTTACGGTAGGTCCGATAGGACAGAAATCCAACACGACCAAAGAGAGATCAGGTGCAGGACCAACAGCTTTACGTGCTATTTGAGGCACGGGGATGAAACACCGTCATATTCTGGGCTGCTACTGAGAATTCCTTAAAACCTGATTATGGCCCGACCCAGGATTCGAACTCTGGACCTCACCATCAGCAATCGACAACTACTACACCAACGTGGCAGTCAATATATTATCATTATTGCAACCTGTCAAAATTCCATTTCTGAACATTGCTTCATAGAAGGGAGGCTTGGGTAACCGCAGATTATTTTCAGTTCTTATCGGGAAAATGCTGCTGCCCATCTCCTGTTTGTTTCCCCCACCCAAAAGATAAAGGGCAGTGGATATTCTTAAGTCACCTACATACCAAGATTGTATATATCGCCTACAAAAAAAAGTAAAATAATGTATAAAATAATTACGATTTCTTTTTCAGCTTTAAAGATGACATTACTAGGTACGTCTTTAACATTGTATGGAACAACTTTGTGCTATGTACCAACCATTGCATTATTTATTGGCAATAAGTTCTTTTTTGAAACTGCATTTGCAAAATTAATATTAAGATAATTTTCCAGTGTAGTTTTTGTATTTTTTTTTATTTCGCTTTATTTTTACCGCGAATATATGTTGTTTTATAATAATTACTGAAATATTTAAAAAAAAATTAGTTAGTTCAAAGCTTTTAAGGGCTTTCTTTAAAATATATGCCTTAACGCAGCCTACGCTTACCTCACCAATAAACTGCTGTGTTTGGTATCACAAAATCAATATAGCTATAAGTTATTTTAATATGATTATTAGTTGTTTTATAGCATATAAGTTTCAATTAGACACAACACAGTATGAGTGCCTGAGAGATGACTACATATTTGTGCCATTTGCTGTAGAGACTATCAATTAGTGGGGTGAAGTTCCTAAATAAATTGTACCCATGTCTTATCGTTTATTATAATAGACATTCAGCGAGGAAATACAGCCAGCGTTAGTCCACTATACCGCGGAAAGTAGGACTATAATATGATAATTTAAGTTTATAGTTTTAGTTTTCAAATATACAATATTTATTAAGGTAATTATTAATATTGTATATTCGAAAAATATATAAAGTTACCATTAAACACTAGTAAGTACATTTAAATGTATAGCCCCTACTCAGATTACCCATAGCTCAGTTATTAGTATAATATATTAGTATAATATACTAACTTATTAGTATAATACCCCATAGCTCAGTGACTAAGCCCTTGTTGAAAATTTCACTGTACACAAACCACCCGGGCTTACTCCCCACCGGCATTAATGAAATTGTTTGATTTCACATAATTTTGACAATAGTTCGCATTTTCTATACATGAATTAGCCGCGTTAATTTACAAATACTCCACCACAATTTGCTGAGGAATTTCAAAGTGTATGAACGATGTAAATGTCATTTAGCAGGGTTATGCACGCGTGACCGAAGGCATGTTTAACGATATTAAACTATGTGTGGACATTATTTTCTAACTTTCTACTAAACACACACGTACCTACCTATTTTTGTCTAATTTATATTAAATCTGGATTATAAAAAAATAGCAATGACTACATTGTTATAGTTATATATTCGGCAGCATTTCCCTAACAACAACTTAAAATAAAGATATTGTATCAAATTGAACCGTATTGTTAAAATAATTAGCCAATCCCAATAATAAACGTGGCAACTTTGACAAATGTCCCCGCTCTGACGCAATGTATGAGAGAGGCCTATGTTTAGCTGTGGACTTTCGATAGTCTGTAATGAATGATGATGAATGAATAAACGTTCTCATTTACATAAAACCTCTGCATACATCAGATTTATAAAATTAGTTCAGGTTCTTTATGTAAATTTATTTTAACACTTACCAGATAGGAAACGTCAAATCCTTCCTCTTCTTTATAATAGAATTTGAATAATTGAAAATAAAAATAAAACTTTTTTGTACAATGTTTAGATATTATTTAAAAGAATTAGGCTCCATCCATGTCTACAGTCTAGGTTACGTAAATCATCACTGCCAGGCAATAAAATACACGCTTGTTTACAATTTTTGCCAGCATCATCATCATCATCACCAATTCAGTTCACCATTACAAGTCCACTGTTCAACATCATACAAAAGAATCCCTTAGAGCACAGTTTTGAGCCAACTGTATTTATCGACTACCCGCATGTCTTACCAGGTCGTCCCTTCATCTAGTCCGCCACAGTAGGGAAGGCCACCCTACACTCCACTTACCGGTGCGAGACTGACACTCGAGAATCTTTCTTTCCCATCGGTTGTCAGTTATTGATGTAACCGGCCCATTGCAACTTTAGCTTACTGGTCCTTTGGGCTATATCGGTTATTCTAATTCTACTGTGGATATCTTAATTAATTCATTTGTCATATATTTGTTTATGTATAACAAAAGTGTACGCTCTACAATAGCAGACAAGATGTGTCGCAATCTTTAAACGTGGCCAAGCCTCAGTTTATTTCGCAAATTTTAACCCTTGGGATCCACTAAGAAATTGGAAATGTGGCAATTTAATTCCCGCGGAACGTTAAGAAGGACAATAAAACTAACAAAAGGGATAATTTATTATGATTTAAATATTAATGCTATGTACGATTATCATCTCTATGCTAATGTTAATAATGCTGTCATAAAAAAAAGGCTTCGAATAATTACTGCAGCTAATTCGATTTTCAAAATGGGAATCGTTCATTATTTATGACATTAGAAGAAACATACGTTTTCTGTATCATTACACACATCTATCCATTACAGACTATCAAAGTTCACTGCTGTAAATAGGTCTTACCATATATTACCTCTTAAGGGGGTAAATGCCATAATTACCAGTTACAGTGTCTTCAAACCAATTCAATGGCTTTAACATAGAATAGAATAAACGCTGACAGAATACTATTTTTTTATAAGATAATGGTGACAAACGAGCACATAGTCCACCTCATGGTAAGTGGTTGCTGTGGCCCATAGACATTTACATCTAGCCTCGATTACGAATTAAAATGCAAGATGCGTTGTCACCGTGAGGACTAAGATGGAATGCCTCGTTTCCAGTAAAAATGGTCTCCGGTTCTCTACACTCATTATACGAAACACAGCAGCAGTAAGCTGCTATTTTACGCTGGTATTCTGTGAGAGCTTGATCCTTCCCGGTCGAGCCGACCGATTCGTGTTACAACTATACCAGTAATTGGTACAGCTGCAGCATGGCTCTACCACGTTAAATTTTATTTATGCTGCTTACTGTGAAAAATTATATATTAGCTTCATATATGTATACCGATAATTATTCTGTAAGACTGTTTTGAGTAATTTGACAATGAAATCTTGTATAAAGCACAGGCTTGACAGGCCGGTTGGCAACCGCAATTTTTTAATTATTAGTTGCTATTAGAAAGACGCTGCTCCCCATCTCCTGGTTTGTTCTGTCGCCTTTTATGACACCCACGGGACGATATGGGGTAGTGAATCATCTTACACCGCCGCGCCGCTACAAGATCCACACAATGAGGACATCCACGACTTTTTCTGCCACCAAGGCGGTGCCACTTGCGCTATTTTATATTAATAAGATTAAAAATAAATAAACCAAACCACAGATATTCATAAAAGTAGAAAAATTAAGAAAAAGTTAAAAATGTGCAATAATTAAAGAGCAAACCACTGAGGCATTGTTTAGTGTATTAATATAATACTTTAGAAACTGATAAACTTTTATTTAAAACTAACTTCTCAATTAAATGACATTGTGTAACAAATAACTTTACCTCAGTGTCAACTAGCGACATCTGGTGAGCAGAAAATTATTAACCCTCATTAAAATGTGCATTGTTATTTTTCAACAGCGAGAAGCGTGCTCTGGATTTGGGTCTCAGCCGTGGATACTCCGGCGCTCTTCAAGCCAAGCACCTCATGGGACTCGCGGCCGCCAACTACGCCGGTGGCCCTGGCAGGAGGCGTCGTGATGCCCATTAAGATGGCACCAAGAATCTTAATTCTACTGGCATATTGCTGCGAATTTCCGTCTTATCCCAATTATTTAGTTACTTAACTTTTCATGCATTACCCATTTGACTAAAAATATAACTATCTAACTAAGCTTGTATCAGGAATTTCAATTCTTCTCAAAGTCATTATCAACAGCATTAAACAAATTGTAAAAAACTTCAGTTTGTCAATAGTTTATTTTCGTCTTATATTGCGAAGGGGCCTATTTTAATCTGAATATTTAAAAAAAATAGATCTTAAGATTATTATACTGTATAAATTAGTTGCCTTCTTTTAAAACTAGTATTAAAATATAAATGTTAATAAAGAGTATGGATTTATTGTTGAAATTTTACGTGTTAATAAATTCTCCGTTTGAAACTTAGAAAGCGCTTCATCAGTATTCCTCAAACCAGTATTACAACATTAACTGTCTTAATGTAAGCTTTGATCCTCTTCAATTTGCGATACTGTGGCTTGAATTTTAAAGTAGTTATTAAATAATCTACACGTTCGAAGGTAATTTCCAAAATCTTAATTTCTTCAGAGTGAAATTGAAGTCACTGGCATTTATTGAACCAGTTATTCTTGTCATATTAAAAAAAAAGTAGAATAACTTATATAAGTAATGATACAGAAAAGAAGTAGTTATTTATTTTGTTATATTTTTTTGTATTTATTTGAAATAATGATTGATTGAATTACTGGCTAATATATTTTAAAGTTTTTTTTTTAATCTAAGCATAACATCCGTATTATTCTTTTTTTAAATGCCAATAATTTCAATTCCAGCCTGTTGTAACTTGCCCTCAAGTGATTTAAAGTAACTCTTCCTAAATGTATTTGTAGCTAAAGTTAGAATATAAATTTAAGTAACAAATACCTCCTGTCTAGAGTTTATAGTAAGGAAATAAAGAGATATTCATATTAATACAATCGTGTTTGCATTGCTTTATGTATGTTTATGTATCAATATTTATATTAACTAAATCTAATTCAGCAATGATACCGTTTTTTAATGATATATCATTCCTCTCGTGATATCATCTTAAGTAATAGATTTAAAAATAAACGTTATTAAATCTACTGCTGTTAGATTCCAGCTGTATTGATGTTTGAAAGCTTTGTCAATATTTAGGTCCCTAGACAGGTATATTTTAAGATGATGATCGTATATATAATGAAAGTTTTAGCGTAATTATTAAATTTATAAAAGCTAATAACTTATAATTTAAAATTTAAAATTTAAAATTTTGTTCAACCGACTTCAATATATATTATTAAGAATAACTCAAAAACGATTGGTCAGACCTTGATCAAATTTGTATGGGACCACATGATAAGCACTAGCTTTCAAACAAAGAATCATCGAAATCGGTTCACGTAGAACAAAGTTATGAGCTAACACACATAAAAAAAAACATACAGTCGAATTGAGTACCTCCTCCTTTTTGAAATCGGTAGATAAAAACCGGCCAAGTGCGAGTCGAACTCGCGGATGATATGAACCACCATATGTGAAGGTTTCTGTTCCATTTATTTAGATTTAAGATTTTACAACGATTTTACGACGAGATTTAAAATACTATTTAGGTAAAAACATATTTTTAGTAGGGGAGACTCTCTTTAATTCCTTTTTTTTTTATTATTTGTTGTTATAGTGGCAACGGAAATAATACACATTCTATGAAAATTCAACTGTCTAAAAATTCAGCGGAGGCTTAGTAATAGGGTCCCATTGGTTTCCCTTCGGGTACGGAACCCTAAAAATGAGGGTGACAAACGAGCGCACATACCACCTGGTGGTAAGTAAATGCTGAGGCTCATAGGCCACATGTCTATTCTCGATTAAGAAACAAAATGTAAATGCGTTACCAACCTTGAGGTCTAAGATGGAACACCTTGTTTCCAGTTAAAAGGGTCTCCAGTTCTCTACACTCACCATACGAAAGTAGCATTAAGCCGCTATTTTATGCTGGTATTCTGTGAGAGCGTGGTCTTTGCCCGGTCGAACCGACCCATACCATATCCAACCATAATATAGCTGCAGCGTGGCTTCACCACTAAAATAAAAAAAAAGTCAAATGCGAACCACGAACAGGAAGATGGTAATCAATACGTAAAATACAGTTCGTATACCGTATATGTCAGTTATAGAATATTTCCTCTTAATTCTTAATCGACGACGACGACTGGGCACGGTCTTCTCCAGTTGCAAAGAGAATTTGACTTAAGTTTCGCTTGGCAGGCGTATTTACTATCGCAGTAATAGATGTCTCGCACTTTTGACGCTGCAGGCGTTAAAATTTGACAGTGACGAACACGGATAAAAGTAAACCTTAATCATTAAAAAATAAAATTATCATGTAATTCTATGTTTATTGAAACCCATAAATGCGCACTTGGAAATTATAGCCTCATATAAGAATATTGTTTTAACTGGCGACATTAATCTTAACCTAATTACTAAAGCGGCAGAGCTAGCGTATGAAACGGAAGTACCTAGACATTTTATCTTTACATGGACTCTTGTCCGGTCATTACTTAGCCACTAGACAGGACAACTGTTTTGATCATGTGCTCCTAAAATTAGATAAAATTCTAACTCAGCATTTGTAGCAGTACTTAACACAACAATTACCGACCTTTTTTTTCGTGAGGAAATCCTCATGGATACCTTCCACTGCGGGGGCAACAAAAGGTTATGCCGGACTCCCCAGCTAAAACCCCACGGTGGTCACCATCAGCGTATAAGAGGGGTCCCGGGATCTCCGTTCGGAACGCAACCGGGGCCCCTCCATCGCTTTGCTATACTACTAGCACGTCCCAGGGGCAGTACTTTCTGCCCCCAGCACCCTCGCAGTGCTACCACGATGTCTCGAGACCACTTTCGAGCCATCGTCCTCCTCGGGGGTTAAATAACTAGGCGCTCGAGGCCCCCGCCCCTAGCGTCTGCAACTCCGGAGGCCCCGTTTCTGGTGGGGGAACACCGTTTTCAAGAGGAGGGCCGTGACGAACGCCTTGGTGACGACGTCTCCGCGCGGGATCCGCCCTCTCCCGATCCCGCTCAGAAGCCTCCTTCTGAATCATAACAGATTCACAGAAGGTGGCTACGGCCCTCCATGCCGAATCCCCGCTCAGCATCGCCGACACAACTGCTGGCAGGGAGAGGTCCCGTCCGATGCGGTTCACCAGGATCGTCCGGTCCCGTTCCCACGCTGGGCATACTGCGAGTGTGTGGGAAACGGAGTCCTGGTCCCTTCCACCACAGTGGAAGCAGTTCGCCGTTGCCTCACGTCCAATCTTACACAGATAATCACCGAAGCACCCATACCCGGTAATTATCTTAGTACGTCTATAGGTGAGTCTTCCTGCTCGTCGCTGCATCCAGGCTTTGAAGACTGGCAGGATTGCTTCAATGACGCGTCTGCGTTCATAGCGCTCCTCGAGTCGAGAGCGCCATGATGCCAGAGCGTTTTGTCGTTCCTGCCGTTTAATTGATTGACTCTTCTGGCTCACTACCACCACTCTGGCGAAGGACACGGATTCGAACGTACACCCTTGCGTACATTTCCGCCAGTATATCTAGTGGTGGAAAGCGAGCCAGGATTGTCGCCACCTCAAAGGATATCGTGCGGTATCCTCGTACGCCATCCTCCGCTGAACACTGTAGATTTTAGTTCTACAGCGTCGGAAGGCCAACCTTTTTCCCCATACAGGCGCTCCATATAGAGCTACGGATCGTATAACTCCCGCATAGAGGCGACGTACTTCCTCCGTCGGTCCCCCTAGATTGGACAGCAGTCTATGCATAGCACCCGCTACCCTTTCGACCCGAGGGACTAGGCACTCGAAATGTTCTTCGAAGCCCCAGCGACTGTCCAGGTGGAGGCCTAGGTACTTCATGTACCTCCCCATTCTGACTTTAGACCCACCCACGCGGATACACGAGTCGGGTGGTTCCCTGCTCCTTGGTGATTTGTGGAACCGAGGGATCTTGTGAAGCGCTATCTCTAATCCCAACTCGTGGATTTTGGCGACGACGACTTCCGCTCCTCTCAAAAGTGATCCCGCTAGCGATCACCAATGTGTCGTCAGCATAGCAAACGATATCTACACCAGCGGGAAGATCGATTCGCAGAACCGCATCATAGGCGAGGTTCCACAGTAGCGGCTGCAGTGGTGCCTGTTATTCCAACGGTTGAGGTGGATGTGCTGACAATTGCGGCAACGTTGTCTGCGGCTTATTCACCCCTGCCAGTGCAGGCCGCATAACCTTATCTAGAAATATCTTGGCCTCAAATATAGCCAGCTTTCTCTCAATTAGGGATCCAATGCGCTCCATGAGGTCCTCCTCTTCATGCCAGATTTTTTGTTGGACTTGACCCGGTCGATTTGACATTGTACTTTCTTTCCTTATTTCCGTATAGATCCTTCTAATTGTAATGATCCAAACATTATGGCTGCGATCTTAATCGATACAATTACAAAAGCAATTGTTACAAATGCTAAAGTTAAATTGGTTAATAACAGCAAAATATTTTAAAACCGTGGATTACCACATGCGCTTTGCGGTGTGTTAAACTTAGGAATAGCATGCAACTGAAAGCGAAACAGAAACCCGCAAATAAAATTAAGTTTTAAAATGTTTTAGAATTTTTTATAAAAATTTAATTAGTAAATTATAAAGACAGTATTATAAAAATGAAACCAAAACCAAATTACTATGGTTTAAAATTAATCAAATAACCCAATTCAAAAGCAATAAAACTTCTAATGTTAGCCTCCTCGATCTGTCACCAGACTCGCTTGAATCTGTAAATATAGTTATTTTTCGTCAACATTGGTAAATCTCTGTTTGAAAATATAACTAATAATCGATTATTACAACATAACAATACCCCTGAAATTAAATCAAGTCTAACCTCGTTTGTTTTATTGGACTCTGAACCGCAGGAAGTTTCTGATATACTCATGAGTCTTGCCTC